TCGAACGCCCGCCGGCAGGAGGTCACGGGGGCAGACCCAGGCAGGTGCCACGGGTCGACTGACTGAGACGACCGAGATGAGTGGCTGATGCACCACCTGTGCCCCCTACTACCCCCCACCCCCACACACACCCCCCCACACACAGCCCCCCACACTCACCCCCCCACACACTAAGATTCCACTGCCTCTTCTGAAACCGACGGTAGAACTTTATTTAGCCGTGCGACCACACAGAGGTGGGGGGGTCGCGGGGGTGAAATCGAAATCGCTACCTGTAGGTCCGCTCGGTGACCAGCAGGCGGAGCACGTGGTCGTCACGTGACCAGCGGGCGGAGCACGCGGTCGTCACGTGACCAGCGGGCGGAGCACGCGGTCGTCACGTGACCAAGCGGGCGGAGCACGTGGTCGTCACGTGACCAGCGGGCGGAGCACGTGGTCGTCACGTGACCAGTGGGCGGAGCACGCGGTCGTCACGTGACCAGCGGGCGGAGCACGCGGTCGTCACGTGACCAGCAGGCGGAGAACGTGACGTTGGTGGTGGTGTTGGTGGTGTTGGTGGTGGTGGTGTTGGTGGTGTTGGTGGTGTTGGTGGTGTCGGTGTTTGATGGTGGCGGTGTTGGCGGTGTTGGTGGTGGCGGTGTTGGTGGTGATGGTGTTGGCGGAGGTGGTGGCGGTGGTGGTGTTGATGGTGTTGGTGGTGGTGTTGGTGTTGGTGGTGGTGTTGGCGGAGGTGGTGGTGGTGGTGGTGTTGGCAGTGTTGGCAGTGTTGGCGGTGTTGTTGGCGGTGTTGTTGGTGGTGGTGTTGGCGGTGTTGGTGGTGGTGGTGTGCGAGGGGAGGGGCTAGGGGCCAGGCTGGGTCCCCCCTCCCTCCCCTCCCCCCCCTCCGTGTGCCGGGGGGGGCTGGGGGGGGGCCCCCTCCTGCTGCTGCTTCCTCTTCAGCTGTGCACGGTACTTCTGTGGGGGGGGGGGGGGGGTAGGAAATCACTATCATCATCATCACCATCATGGTCATCATCATCATCACCATCATCATCACCATCATCATCACCATCATCGTCATCACCATCATGGTCATCATCATCATCACCATCATCATAACCATCATCACCATCATCATCATCACCATCGTCATCACCATCATGGTCATCATCCTCATCACCATCATCATAACCATCATCACCATCATCATAACCATCATCACCATCATCATCATCACCATCATCGTCATCACCATCATGGTCATCATCACCATCATCATCACCATCATCGTCATCACCATCATGGTCATCATCATCATCACCATCATCATAACCATAATCACCATCATCATCATCACCATCATCGTCATCACCATCATGGTCATCATCATCACCATCATCATCACCATCATCATCATCATCACCATCATCATCATCATGGTCATCATCACCATCATCACGATCATCACCATCATGGTCACCATCATCATCACCATCATGGTCATCATCATCACCATCATGGTCATCATCATCACCATCATCATCACCATCATGGTCATCATCATCACCATCATGGTCATCATCATCACCATCATCATCACCACCATCATCGTCATCACCATCATGGTCATCATCATCATCACCATCATCATAACCATCATCACCATCATCGTCATCACCATCATGGTCATCATCATCATCACCATCATCATCATCACCATCATCATCACCATCATCATCATCATGGTCATCATCATCATCACCATCATCATCATCACGATCATCACCATCATGGTCACCATCATCATCATCACCATCATGGTCATCATCATCATCACCATCATGGTCATCATCATCATCATCACCATCATGGTCATCATCACCATCATCACCATCATGGTCATCATCATCACCATCATCATCATCACCATCATCATCACCATCATCATCATCACCATCATCGTCATCACCATCATGGTTACCATCATCATCATCACCATCATCATCGTCATCACCATCATGGTCACCATCATCATCACCATCATGGTCATCATCATCATCACCATCATGGTCATCATCATCACCATCATCATCATCACCATCATGGTCATCATCACCATCATCACCATCATGGTCATCATCACCATCATCATCACCATCATCATCACCACCATCACCATCATCGTCATCACCATCATGGTTACCATCATCATCATCACCATCATCATCATCATCGTCATCACCATCATGGTCACCATCATCATCACCATCATCACCATCAATCATCGTCATCATCATCACCATCATCATCACCATCATGGTCATCATCACCATCATGGTCATCATCACCATCATCATCATCACCATCATCACCATCATCATCACCATCATCACCATCATCATCACCATCATCATCAACATCATCATCGTCATCATCATCACCGTCATCATCATCACCATCATCACCATCATCATCATCACCATCATCACCATCATCACCATCATCATCATCACCATCATCATCGTCACGGTGATCGTGGTGGTGGTGAGTGTGGTGAGTGAGTGATGGTGAGTGAGCCAGTGTGTGAGTGAGTGGGTGAGTGTGTGCGTGTGAGTCAGTGTGTGAGTGTGTGTGAGTGTATGAGTGGGTGTGAGTGTGTGAATGTGTGAGTGAGTGTGTGTGTGAGTGTGTAAGTGTATGAATGAGTGTGTGAGTGAGTGTGTGAGTGAGTGTGTGAGTGAGTGTGTGAGTGAGTGTGTGAGTCAGTGTGTGTGAGTCAGTGTGTGTGAGCGTGTGAGTGGAGCGCCGGGTGGCTAAAGCACAGCAGGTTGGCACAGTGGGGGGCACAGGTGGTGCATCAGCCAGTCATCTCAGTCAGCCGACCCGTGGCACCTGGGTCTGCCCCGTGACCTCCTGCCAGCGGGCGTTCGACACTTCACGTGGCCTCAGGGTGCACATAGCCTGGCACAAGCGTCGTGGTGACGTCACCGCCACTTAGTGGCGAATGGCGGTTGTTGTTGTTGTTGTCAGTGTGTGTCGGTGTGTCAGTGTGTGTGTGTCAATGTGTGTGTGTGTGAGTGAGTGTGTGAGTCAGTGTGAGTGAGTGTGTGAGTCAGTGTGAGTCAGTGTGAGTGAGTGTGTGAGTCAGTGTGAGTGTGTGAGTCAGTGTGAGTGAGTGAGTGAGTGTGAGTGTGTGTGTGAGTCAGTGTGTGAGTCAGTGTGAGTGTGTGAGTCAGTGTGAGTGTGTGAGTCAGTGTGAGTGAGTGTGTGAGTCAGTGTGAGTGAGTCAGTGTGAGTGCGCGTGTGAGTATGTGTCCGGCAAAACAACCCCCTACCTCCTCGCGGTGCCGGACGGGCAACTCTGTCGTGGACAGTGCTGTGGGGGGAGGGCCAATTCCGATTGGCTCCTCCCCTCATGGCATCTGTGACCACCACCGTGGCTAAACGGGGGCTCTGGACGGGTGCGAGGGGCTGGTAACCCCTCCACCTTCAATTAATTACCACGAAACCATGAATAAACTGAAATATGTAACTAATAAGCTTGTGCCGGAGGCCCCGGGGAGACAGGCGTCTATGACGTCTCCTGGCCAAACCCCAATTGGCGGAGCCAGGAGATTGAATATCTACCCTCGGGGCTCCTCCAGAAACAACGAAAAGCCACTACGGGTGGCCACGTGGAATGTTCAAACGCTCACTGCGGAGGAGAGGCTGCCACTCCTCTGTCGGGAGCTGGACCGGTACCGCCGGGATCTGTGTGGCATTCAGGAGGTCCGGTGGACCGGCTCTGGCTCCTGCCACCATGAGGGGTGGACAGTCCTCTACTCGGGGCAGCAGACTGCCAAACAACAGGGTGTGGCTCTTCTTTTGAACAAAAGAATGAAGGGGGCGTGGGAGCGTGGCGGTGAGGTGTGGGAAGCTGTAAGCCCCAGGCTACTTTGGGCTCGCCTTCCCATCAACCGGAGGCGAGGAATGGTGGTCGTGGTTACTTATGCCCCCACCGAAGATGAACATCTGTGGAGGGATGCAGGCAAAGCCGATGAGTCAGATGCCTTCTATGACCTCCTGTCACAGGTGCTGGCTAAAGTGGCCCCTCGGGATAGAGTCACCATGTTGGGTGACTTCAATGCCCGAGTTGGTCATGATACTGGCACCTGGTCTGGAGTGTTTGGAGGGCATGAGCCAGATCAGCTCAATAACAACGGTAGGAGGCTGCTAGATTTTTGTGCAGCCCATGGGCTTGTAATTACCAACACGCTGTTCCGGCATCGGTGCATCCACACAACATCATGGATGCATGCCGGGTCCAAGCAAGAACATCTGCTGGACTACATAGTGACGGACCAGCGGATGCGAGCCCATGTCCTTGACACCAGGACCTACCGTGGAGCTGATCTGCCCTCTGACCATCGACTAGTCATCTGTAAGATGCGCCTGCCATTCTTCCACTCCGGTGGTGGGTGTACTCCCAGGACCCAATTCCAACCTAAAGTGGCCTGGTCTCAGTTATCTGATGAAAGTTGCAAGCGAGAATTTCATCATCGCTTGCGGCTGGGATTGGCATCGTCCCCGACTCCTCCTGATGTCGAGGGTAAATGGGCGAGGTTTAGGACTGCGACTCATGCAGCTGCAATGGCTGCTTTGGGTACGCGGTCCAGACCTCCCCAGAGACCCTGGCTGACAGAGGAGGTGTTCAGGATGGTTGCAAAAAAGCGACAGGCCCACTGTCATCGGCTACAGAATCCCACGTCAGAGAATCAGGAGGCTTACCGCAGCCTTCGCTCGGAGGTTCGGAGAGCCGTGAGGCGCTGCAAGGATGGGTGGTGGTCGTGGGTTGCTGAGGAGATGGAGTCTGCCTCAGTGGCCCGTGATCACAAATCTCTATTTAACTCCATCAAAAAAGTAATCTGCAGCGCCACACCTATTACCATCATTAGGGGAAAAAACGGTGATCCAATCTCTGACCCCCAGGAACAGGTTTGCAGATTTGCTGAGCATTTCTGTGAGGTTCTGGGGGAGGGAAAATCCCTCAGCCAGGAAAACAACGTGGCACAAAGTGAGGATGACCCTGCTGAGGCTGTGGTGCCTCAAATATTGGAAGAAGTCACCCTCTGTGAGTGGCTGGCTGAGGTGCCATCTGTTGAGGAAGTACTGAAGGCGATCCGGAGTCTGAGACCAGGAAAGGCAGCGGGCAGAGATGATCTCCCAAGCGAAATGCTGAGGGAGGGCGGCGTTTGTGCACAGACTGCCCTATATGACATCATAACAACAGTCTGGACCACTGGACGGGTTCCGCAGGATTGGAAGGATGCCCTGGTGGTCCCCCTTTTTAAGAAGGGGGACCGCACAGACTGTAACAACTACAGGGGCATCTCACTCCTCAGTGTGCCGGGAAAGGTCCTGGCAAGGATAATTCAACATCGCCTTGCCAGGCACGCTGAGGAGAGGCTTGCGGAGCCCCAATGCGGTTTCAGGAAAGGGCGGTCCTGCACAGATGCCATATTTTCTGTCCGTCTGCTACAGCAGAGGTGTAGGGAATTCCAACAAGACCTACATCTCTGCTTTGTTGACCTGGTCAAGGCCTATGATACCATCAGTAGGCCTGGGCTCTGGGTTGTTCTTCGTGCTTTTGGAGTACCTGATCCTCTGCTCACGATCATTAAGGACCCTCATGATGGTGAGCGGGCCCGGGTAAAACTACGTGGCCGGGAGTCAGAGCCATTCCCTGTTAACCTTGGGGTGCGACAGGGATGTCCTCTGGCTCCCACATTATTTAACATCTATTTTGACCACGCAGTTCATGAAGCCTTCAATAGCTGTACCGGGGGAATCTCCATATGGTACAGATATAATGGGAGGCTGATCGACGCCCGGGTGCGGTCAAGGGATGGCTCCCTATTGCTCAACTACGTTATGTATGCTGATGATTTGGTAATAGCTGCTCATTCAGAGGAGGAGTTGGAGACGCTGCTGCTGAAACTGGAGCATACCACTAAGAGGTGGGGCCTTACCATCAGCCCCACCAAAACTAAGCACCTGCCTGGGTATTTTGTACCATCGGACACTCCACCCCCACAACTCCCAATCGGTGATGGGGCAGTTGTGGAGAGTTTCCCATACCTGGGCAGTGTGCTTATGACTGGCTCCAGTTTAACAGCAGAGGTCTCACTCCGAATCAGTCGAGCGGCAATATCTTTTCATCGGTTGCGTAACGCTGTGTGGAAGCTACCTAGTCTGTCGCTCTGCACTAAGCTTCAGGTCTTCTTGGCCACGGTCATTCCCTCCCTTCTCTACGCTTGCGAAACGTGGACCCCCCTAATGGAACATCTTCGCCGGTTAGAAACATTTAGGCTGGCCTGCCTACGATCCATCCTGGGTTTAACCAGACTGGATTGTGTGAGGAGCTCACAAATCCTTGAAAGATCTGGGCAAGGTCCCATCGGTGAGCTCCTCCGGCGGGGAAGGCTGCGATGGCTGGGTCATGTAGCCCGCATGCCCAGCCACCGCATGCCGAAACAGCTTTTGTTCGGCCGGATCGAGGGGGCTAAGCGGGCGCGGCACGGGCTAGAGAAGAAATGGAGTGATGGGGTACAGGAGGACGTGGAGCTGAGTGGACTTGCCGATGACTGGTACCAGCGGTGTCAAGATCGGCCTCTGTGGAGGAGGCTCGTGAAGGACGCTGCTACTGGGCAGTTGGAGGCAGTCGCCCTCCAACAACAACGGAGGGCGGAGGAGCGACGCTCACAACAACGAGCGGAGCGCCGGGTGGCTAAAGCACAGCAGGTTGGCACAGTAGGGGGCACAGGTGGTGCACCAGCCAGTCATCTCAGTCAGTCGACCCGTGGCACCTGCTGGGTCTGCCCCGTGACCTCCTGCCAGCGGGCGTTCGACACTTCACGTGGCCTCAAGGTGCAGATGGCCTGGCACAAGCGTCGTGGTGACGTCACCGCCACTTAGTGGCGAATGGCGGTTGTTGTCGAGTCATTGTGAGTGAGTGTGTGTGAGTGTGTGTGTGAGAGTCAGTGTCAGTCAGTGTGAGTCAGTGTGAGTGAGTGTGAGTGAGTCGGTGTGAGTGCGCGTGTGAGTGTGTGTGAGTCAGTGTGTGAGTCAGTGTGTGAGTGTGCGAGTGTGCGAGTGTGCGAGTGTGTGAGTGTGCGAGTGTGCGAGTGTGTGAGTGTGTGAGTGTGTGAGTCAGTGTGTGAGTGTGTGAGTCAGTGTGCGAGTGTGCGAGTGTGCGAGTGTGCGACAGAGGCCTGCACCTCTACGTTGCGGTAGTGCAGGCTGCTGCTGCAGTGAAGTTTCTTGGCGACGTCCACGCGGCTGTAGAAGAGACAGCAGAGCTGACAGTAGAAGCCGGTCTTGGGGACCAGGAACTCCATCCCTGTGAGATGGGGGTCACAGTGTTAGAGATGGGGGTCACAGTGTTAGAGACGGGGGTCACAGTGTTAGAGATGGGGGTCACAGTGCTAGAGATGGGGGTCACAGTGCTAGAGATGGGGGTCACAGTGCTAGAGATGGGGGTCACAGTGCTAGAGATGGGGGTCTTAGTGCTAGAGACGGGGGTCACAGTGTTAGAGATGGGGGTCACAGTGTTAGAGATGGGGTTCACAGTGCTAGAGATGGGGGTCACAGTGTTAGAGATGGGGGTCGCAGTGCTAGAGATGGGGGTCACAGTGCTAGAGATGTGGGTCACAGTGCTAGAGATGGGGGTCACAGTGGTAGAGATGGGGGTCACAGTACTAGAGATGGGGGTCACAGTGTTAGAGATGGGGGTCACAGTGTTAGAGATGGGGGTCACAGTGCTAGAGATGGGGGTCACAGTGGTAGAGATGGGGGTCACAGTGTTAGAGATGGGGGTCACAGTGTTAGAGATGGGGGTCGCGGTGTTAGAGATGGGGGTTACAGTGTTAGAGATGGGGGTCACAGTGTTAGAGATGGGGGTCACAGTACTAGAGATGGGGGTCACGGTGCTAGAGATGGGGGTCACAGTGTTAGAGATGGGGGTCACAGTGTTAGAGATGGGGGTCACAGTGCTAGAGACGGGGGTCACAGTGTTAGAGATGGGGGTCACAGTGTTAGAGATGGGGGTCACAGTGTTAGAGATGGGGGTCACAGTGTTAGAGATGGGGGTCACAGTGTTAGAGATGGGGGTCACAGTGTTAGAGATGGGGGTCACGGTGCTAGAGATGGGGGTCACAGTGTTAGAGATGGGGGTCACGGTGTTAGAGATGGGGGTCACGGTGTTAGAGATGGGGGTCACGGTGTTAGAGATGGGGGTCACGGTGTTAGAGATGGGGGTCACAGTGTTAGAGATGGGGGTCACAGTGTTAGAGATGGGGGTCACAGTGTTAGAGATGGGGGTCACAGCGCTAGAGATGGGGGTCGCAGTGTTAGAGATGGGGGTCACAGTGTTAGAGATGGGGGTCACAGTGCTAGAGATGGGGGGTTCACAGTGCTAGAGATGGGGGTCACAGTGTTAGAGATGGGGGTCACAGTGCTAGAGATGGGGGGTTCACAGTGCTAGAGATGGGGGTCACAGTGTTAGAGATGGGGGTCACAGTGTTAGAGATGGGGGTCACAGTGCTAGAGATGGGGGTCACAGTGCTAGAGATGGGGGTCACGGTGTTAGAAATGGGGGTCACAGTGTTAGAGATGGGGGTCACAGTGCTAGAGACGGGGGTCACAGTGTTAGAGATGGGGGTCACAGTGTTAGAGATGGGGGTCACAGTGCTAGAGATGGGGGTCACAGTGTTAGAGATGGGGGTCACAGTGCTAGAGATGGGGGTCACAGTGTTAGAGATGGGGGTCACAGTGTTAGAGATGGGGTTCACAGTGCTAGAGATGGGGGTCACAGTGTTAGAGATGGGGGTCACAGTGCTAGAGATGGGGGTCACAGTGTTAGAGATGGGGGTCACAGTGTTAGAGATGGGGGTCACGGTGTTAGAGATGGGGGTCACAGTGTTAGAGATGGGGGTCACGGTGTTAGAGATGGGGGTCACAGTGCTAGAGATGGGGGGTTCACAGTGTTAGAGATGTGGGTCACAGTGCTAGAGATGGGGGTCACAGTGGTAGAGATGGGGGTCACAGTGTTAGAGATGGGGGTCACAGTGTTAGAGACGGGGGTCGCAGTGTTAGAGATGGGGGTCACAGTGTTAGAGATGGGGGGGTCACAGTGCTAGAGATGGGGGTCACAGTGCTAGAGATGGGGGTCGCAGTGTTAGAGATGGGGGTCACAGTGTTAGAGATGGGGGTCACAGTGTTAGAGATGGGGGTCACGGTGTTAGAGATGGGGGTCGCAGTGTTAGAGATGGGGGTCACAGTGTTAGAGATGGGGGTCACAGTGTTAGAGATGGGGGTCACAGTGTTAGAGATGGGGGTCACAATGTTAGAGATGGGGATCACAGTGTTAGAGATGGGGGTCACAGTGCTAGAGATGGGGGTCACAGTGTTAGAGATGGGGGTCACAGTGTTAGAGATGGGGGTCACGGTGTTAGAGATGGGGGTCGCAGTGTTAGAGATGGGGGTCACAGTGTTAGAGATGGGGGTCACAGTGTTAGAGATGGGGGTCACAGTGTTAGAGATGGGGGGTTCACAGTGCTAGAGATGGGGGTCACAGTGTTAGAGATGGGGGTCACAGTGTTAGAGATGGGGGTCACAGTGCTAGAGATGGGGGTCACAGTACTAGAGATGGGGGTCACAGTGCTAGAGATGGGGGTCATAGTGTTAGAGATGGGGGTCACAGTGTTAGAGATGGGGGTCACAGTACTAGAGATGGGGGTCACAGTGCTAGAGACGGGGGTCACAGTGTTAGAGATGGGGGTCACAGTGCTAGAGATGTGGGTCACAGTGCTAGAGATGGGGGTCACAGTGCTAGAGATGGGGGTCACAGTGTTAGAGATGGGGGTCACAGTGTTAGAGATGGGGGTCACAGTGTTAGAGACGGGGGTCGCAGTGTTAGAGATGGGGATCACAGTGTTAGAGATGGGGGTCACAGTGCTAGAGATGGGGGTCACAGTGCTAGAGATGGGGGTCACAGTGTTAGAGATGGGGGTCACAGTGTTAGAGATGGGGATCACAGTGTTAGAGATGGGGGTCACAGTGTTAGAGATGGGGGTCACAGTGTTAGAGATGGGGGTCACAGCGCTAGAGATGGGGGTCACAGTGCTAGAGATGGGGGTCACAGTGTTAGAGATGGGGGGTTCACAGTGCTAGAGATGGGGGTCACAGTGTTAGAGATGGGGGTCACAGTGTTAGAGATGTGGGTCACAGTGCTAGAGATGTGGGTCACAGCGCTAGAGATGGGGGTCACAGTGCTAGAGATGGGGGTCACAGTGTTAGAGATGGGGGTCACAGTGCTAGAGATGGGGGTCACAGTGCTAGAGACGGGGGTCACAGTGCTAGAGATGGGGGTCACAGTGCTAGAGATGGGGGTCACAGCGCTAGAGATGGGGGTTACAGTGTTAGAGATGTGGGTCACAGTGTTAGAGATGGGGGTCACAGTGCTAGAGACGGGGGTCACAGTGCTAGAGACGGGGGTCACAGTGTTAGAGATGTGGGTCACAGTGTTAGAGATGGGGGTCACAGTGTTAGAGATGTGGGTCACAGTGCTAGAGACGGGGGTCACAGTGCTAGAGATGGGGGTCACAGCGTTAGAGATGGGGGTCACAGTGCTAGAGATGGGGGTCACAGTGCTAGAGACGGGGGTCACAGTGCTAGAGATGGGGGTCACAGTGTTAGAGATGGGGTCACAGTGTTAGAGATGGGGGTCACAGTGTTAGAGATGGGGGTCACAGTACTAGAGACGGGGGTCACAGTGCTAGAGATGGGGGTCACAGTGTTAGAGATGGGGGTCACAGTGGTAGAGATGGGGGTCACAGTGCTAGAGATGGGGGTCGCAGTGTTAGAGATGGGGGTCACAGTGCTAGAGACGGGGGTCACAGTGTTAGAGATGGGGGTCACAGTGTTAGAGATGGGGTTCACAGTGTTAGAGATGGGGGTCACAGTGCTAGAGATGGAGGGGTCACAGTGTTAGAGATGTGGGTCGCAGTGTTAGAGATGGGGATCACAGTGTTAGAGATGGGGGTCACAGTGCTAGAGATGGGGGTCACAGTGCTAGAGATGGGGGTCACAGTGTTAGAGATGGGGGTCACAGTGTTAGAGATGGGGGTCACAGTGTTAGAGATGGGGTTCACAGTGTTAGAGATGGGGGTCACAGTGCTAGAGATGGGGGTCACAGTGCTAGAGATGGAGGGGTCACAGTGTTAGAGATGTGGGTCACAGTGTTAGAGATGGGGGTCACAGTGTTAGAGATGGGGGTCACAGTGCTAGAGATGGGGGTCACAGTGCTAGAGATGGGGGTCACAGCATTAGAGATGGGGGTCACAGTGCTAGAGACGGGGGTCACAGTGCTAGAGATGGGGGGTTCACAGTGCTAGAGATGGGGGTCACAGTGTTAGAGATGGGGGGTTCACAGTGTTAGAGATGGGGGTCACAGTGTTAGAGATGGGGGTCACAGTGCTAGAGATGGGGGTCACAGTGCTAGAGATGGGGGTCACAGCGTTAGAGATGGGGGTCACAGTGCTAGAGACGGGGGTCACAGTGCTAGAGATGGGGGGTTCACAGTGCTAGAGATGGGGGTCACAGTGTTAGAGATGGGGGGTTCACAGTGTTAGAGATGGGTCTCACAGTGTTAGAGATGGGGGGTTCACAGTGCTAGAGATGGGGGTCACAGTGTTAGAGATGAGGGTCACAGTGTTAGAGATGGGGGTCACAGTGTTAGAGATGGGGGTCGCGGTGTTAGAGATGGGGGTCACAGTGTTAGAGATGGGGGTCACAGTGTTAGAGATGGGGGTCACAGTGTTAGAGATGGGGGTCACAGTGTTAGAGATGGGGGTCACAGTGTTAGAGATGGGGGTCACAGTGTTAGAGATGGGGGTCACAGTACTAGAGATGGGGGTCACAGTGCTAGAGACGGGGGTCACAGTGTTAGAGATGGGGGTCACAGTGTTAGAGATGGGGGTCACAGTGCTAGAGACGGGGGTCACAGTGTTAGAGATGGGGGTCACAGTGTTAGAGATGGGGGTCACAGTGTTAGAGATGGGGGTCACAGTGTTAGAGATGGGGGTCACAGTACTAGAGATGGGGGTCACAGTGTTAGAAATGGGGGTCACAGTGCTAGAGATGGGGGTCACAGTGCTAGAGACGGGGGTCACAGTGTTAGAGATGGGGGTCGCAGTGCTAGAGATGGGGGTCACAGTGCTAGAGACGGGGGTCACAGTGCTAGAGACGGGGGTCACAGTGCTAGAGATGGGGGTCACAGCGTTAGAGATGGGGGTCACAGTGTTAGAGATGGGGGTCACAGTGCTAGAGATGGGGGTCACA